AGTCAACCCACATCTATATAGTCAACAAATATGACAAAGGAGGGAAGACCATACAGTGGAATAAAGAAAATAAATGGTATGAAAAAAATTTGACAAACAAATGCAAAAAAATAAAACTAAACTACCTTCATACACTGTCTACAAAATAAATTCAAATGTATTAAAGACTCAAATGTAATGCTCAATACCATAAAAATCCTAGAAGAAAACACAGACAGTAACATTTTGGACATTTCTCTTAGTAATATTTTCCTGATACATCTCCTCAGGCAAGGGAAACAAAGAAAAAATAAACAAATGGGACTACATCAAACTAAAAAGTTTTTGCACAGCAAAGGAAACTATCAAACTGATGGTTGCCAAGGGAGAGTGTTTAGGGTCTAGGTGAAAAATACAGAGGAAGTACAAATTGGTGGTTACAAAATTGTCATGGGAATGTAACTACAGCATAGGGAATACAGTCAATATTACTGGAATAACTATGTATGTTGCCAGGTGGTTCTAGAATTATCAAGGGGATTATTTTGTAAATTACATAAATGTCTAATCACTATGTTGTACTCCTGAAACTAATATAAAATGACATTGAATGTTAACTTATTGAAAAAAAAGTAAAAATAGATATATATACAAATATTAATATATGATTCTTACTCTTAACTAAGTAAACATCTATCCCAACATTCTCATGTGTGTATTTTTCTATCAAGTATGGTTGCTGATTTGAATTATAACATTAAAAAATGTATTTAATCTATTTGAACACTTCTGGAATTCAAGATTTCAGGATTCTAGAGAAGACATTACAACATTAATTTCATATTTGGCCTGTTGCTTCTTTTGATTTGTTGTGACTGAAGTTTGTTATACAAAAATAAAACAGTCCAGCCCTGGCCAGTTTGGCTCAGCGGTTAGAGCGTCGGCCTGCGGTCCGGAGAGACCCGGGTTCGGTTCCTGCTAAGGGCATGTACTTCGGTTGCAGTTTGTCCCCAGCCCTGGTTGGGTCGTGCGGGAGGCAGCCACTCGATGTGTCCCTTCACGTCGATGTTTCTCTCTCTCTCTCCCTTCCTCCCCCCCCCCCACTCTATCTGTACAAAAAATGGAAAAATATCCTCAGGTGAGGATAAAAAAAAAACAAAACAAAAATAAAACAGTCCAGCCAGTGTGATTCAGTGGTTGAGTGTTGACCCATGCACCAAGAGGTCGCCGGTTCAATTCCTGGTCAGGACACATGCCCGGGTTGTGGACCTGATCACTATTCGGGGGCATGGAGAAGGCAGCCAATCGATATTTTCTCTCATCGATGTTTCTCTCTCTCTCTAAAAAAAACATCAATAAAGCAAAAATAAAAACAAATACTTTAAAAATATATAAATAAAAAATATAGAAAAATTTCACTGACAAAGGGAAACACATAGTAAAACACTGGATTGTACAACTATAAAGCTAGTATAATTGTTAAAAAGCAAAGCTACTCTGATCATGTATGAATCCAACAATAAAGTATGAGGTACACACAAACACATACACAAAAAAATGTAAAAAATAACAAAATCTTAAACACTAAGGGGATGAGTAAACATTGCAGTAATGTTTGTATGGGTTCAAATTCAGTTAACATCAACTTAAAATAGACTACTATAAAGTTAGTTTGGTATATAAGAAGCACATGGTGATCACAAATAAAAATTCTACAAGAGATGAGCAAGAAATAAGCAGGCCTCTCATCCAGACGGTGGAGCAGGTGAATACTGCCTTACCTGCTGCCATGACCACATCAATATTACAACCATTTTATAGAGCAACCACCCTTGAGAACCAGCTGAAGACTAGCTGAATAGAACTCCTATAAATAAGGTTATAAAGAAGAGGCCATATCAAGACTTGTAAGAGGGGAGGAGGTGAAAAACAGGTTGGTCCCACACCCATGTGTGAGCATTAAGTATTAAGAGGGATATCTCAGCCACTGGGGTCCTTCATGAGGAAAAAGGGATTCAAGACCCACACTGGGCTCCCAAGCCTGTAGTCCCCATAAAATCTGTGTGTTCACAGTGAGGATTGCTTTCTGGTAAGGTGGAGGTCTGCTGTATACTCAGGCATCCTCTTAAAGGGCCCAGACACTGACTCCCTTGCTCACAAACACTCGCCCTCAACTCCCGTAAATTTACAGCAGTTCAAAGAGTTCCAGGGACCTACAGGGAGGAACTGAATTATCTGCCTTCAGGGTGAGAACTGGAATGGCAGCTCTGTCTGGGACAAAAGTGCTGGCAGGTACCATCATTTCTTTTTAAATCCCTTTCCCCACACAGCCTGCAGGCACAGGTGGGTACCAAATCTGAGTCTTCATCAAACTAACTGACACTGCTCACACCACCCTGGTGATTCTCTGTGACCAGCACTAGCCAACACATGCACCTGCACAAACCACTATCGGAGTCTGTTCCTCACAGGTGGCTGCCTTGGTCTAGACTGTGAACTTTCCTAAAATCTCTCATAGGTCTAAAACCCCAAAACAAGCAGAGGCTAGCCTCGGTGTGCTCTGTACCTCTTGCTAGGTGGCCCCAAACCCAATACTAGAGAAAACCAACCTCATTTAGCTGTATAGACTCTCCTAGACATCTCCAAGTCAAGCATAGAAAGCTACCAACTGCAGATCACATTGCAGTTGTTACCAGGTGGCACTGGGCTGGGTACAGGCAGCAGTTGACCTTAGCATGCACCAGAGCACCTCCCATTAGGCCCCAGAAACAACAAACCCAGAAGCTGGCTTCAGAACACTTGAGTACAGCACCCAGTTGGCTCTACAAAAGACAAAGGGTAATGTGGCAGGCACCAGCCACAAGTGAAGTGAATTCTTTCGGTGAGGTCCACTCCCACACAACAGCACATCTTTTGTATTAATGGCCAATCCTCACTACCAGTCAACTTGAGGGCCAACCCCATCCATTGATGTGCCAGCAGCTGTCAAGTCTCAACTACAACAGGAAGGTTCACACAATCCAAACAAGAGACACCCCAGGAGCACCAGCTCAGGTGACCAAGAAGACTGTGCCACTGAGACCCACAAAACATCGGCCATATAATGTCACTCTGCCATAACCAGAAGACAATGCAGGTGTACCTAATGCATAGAAATGAATGTAGGGAGTCAGCCAAAATGAGGAGACAATGAATCATGTCCCAAATGAAAGAACAGGAAAAAATGAAGGAAATGGTGACAAGCAATCTACCAGATGCAGAGTTCAAAGCACAGGTTAGAAGGGCGCTTAATGAACTCAGGACAAGTACAGGTGAACTCAGAACTTACACAAAGAGAAAAAAAACAACAACAAGAAAAAGAGAGCTAGTCGGAAATGAAGAACATAAAAACTAAAATGAAGCATACCCTGGATGAAATCTAAAGTAAATTAGATAAAGCAGAGAATTTCATTGATAATTTGAAACACAAGGTAGTGAAAAATATCCAATCACAAGAGCAAAAATAAAATTTAAAAATGAAGATAGTTTAAGAGCTCTCTGGGACAATATTAAGTGTAACAACTTTTACATTATAGGAGTAACATAAAAAGAAAAGAGAGAACAATAAATTGAAACCCTATTTGAAGAAATAACACCTAAAAAACTTTCCTAATTTGATGAAGGAAAAAACAACAAGTCCACGGAGTGCAGCAAATCCAAAAAAGATTAACCGAAAGAATCTCACACTAAGACACATCATAATTAAAAGGCAAAGGTAAAAAGGAAGGAAGAATCATAAGGACATTAATCCCCTTCCTAAGATTAGTGAATGATCCCTAGGACTGAATGAGAAGAGGGAGGGAAGGGAAGGAAAGAAGAGAGAGTTGAGGGGAGGGTAGAGGAAGGAAAAGAAATTGTCATCTAGTAATCTGTCGTCTGCTAGTTATTCAGTTTCATTGTAATTTCTTAAGCAGAATATATATACTGTATATGAAACATTACTTCTGTGATTTCAATGTGTTCCCTGCAAACATTTTTAATTGAGTTTTATTGTCTTTAAATTGTTGCTTTTGTTATAGGATGTGTCCTGCAAAATGGTTTCAGAATTAACTCCTCTCCATTATGATTTAAAAAAAACACCTCCTCCTGGCTGATGTGGCTCAGTTGGTTGGAACATGCAAAAGGTGGGGGGTTCGATTCCCAGTCCAGTCCCATATGGGAGGCAACCAATGGATGTTTCTCTCTTCCTTCTCCTCTCTCAAAAAATCAATGAAAAATATTTCCTCAGGTGAGGATAAAAAAAAAAAAATCTCATCTGTAAAGTTTGGTTCTGCCATTAAAGTAGGAATGCAGTTAAAGTAGCATGTTTATTAAACTACTTTTATAGAGTCAACGTAAAAATCAACACTTCAGCAAGATAAAATATGAACAATAATATTAGATAAGTTTTCATGGGTAACATAAGTTATGAATTTATAACCCCGTAAACCAAGTAATGGGTATGCAACTGGGAGAAGGATTTGATGAAAACCCGAGCTATTTTTGTTATCAGAGGAGTGAGTATTCTAAATGTTTTTCCTAAGGACAAAATGTTCTCCTCCGTAATAGGATAAGGGCCACTCTACAATAAGAAGTTGATCTCACTTGGATGCATTTTATTGGAAAACACTCCTCAAAGGTCAATTCCTGCTCCAACTGGGAGAGAACTAAGCAGAAAGTGATATGTCATCACCACACCCGTTTAAGGATTAATGGCTCCAAAGAACAAGATGCCTTTCTAAGTCTTCCTGTAATATTACACCCAAGAGTGACTTGTCCCACCATTCCAGTCCCTTCTGCCCACCAAGGGGCAGACAGTGGCTTTTCACAAGTCTCAGACACACAGGGGACATGTATAATCCGGTGCAACTTCTAAATCATCTCTCTGTTTCAGGCCAAGTCAGAGCACTCATGGGACCTGCCAACAGAAGCTCGCCCGCCCTGGGGCAGGTGGGGCAGTGAGAGATGTTTAGGGCATCTCTCACCACAAGGGAAGGCTGCAATGTCCCTGGAAAGATGTTGTCTGATTCTGCTACTAATTTGGTTCTAATGACCTTGAAAGGTGGAGGGATTTCTGCAAGTCCTCCACTCTGTATATAAAGGGTTGCAACAATGAGATTTCAGGACGGTGACTGTGGCCTTCACAAGCCAGAGCTGAGGAGTCAGGAGTGGGGCCGTGAGACTTGCCCTCCTTTGCACCCCAGCAGGAGATTAGCTCACCTGCAAATTCATCTTTAAGGTACAGTCTGTTGAGTTTGTGTTGTCAGGAGTGGGAACAGCTCACATCGGGGGCTGGAAACTAAGACACACTTATTCCTGTGCCTTTGCCGTCCACTGGGACTCTTTTTCTCCTCACTTTGAATAGCCTGCTCTGCACCGGTCTTGGAATAGATTTCGACAGGCCAAGGGAGTTTTTCCCTCTGATTTCTCGGTCAATAATGCATGGATTGCAAGTTAAAGAGTGTGAAAAAAAAAAAAAAAAAAACAGAAATTAGTGTTGATCTCACTGAACAAGGCTCTCTGAAGATCAAATAAAACACAGAATATACCTCATGTTGATTGATGAATAGAGTTAGTCCCAAGGAAACATTCGTTAGGGGGGCCAGAATTACAGAGCCTTCCCAGAAAGCTGATGGTCTGGAGGTTTGAACATTAATTTGGGGTTTTTACTTGACTGAGTAACCTGGAACTTGGGAGTTTAAACTGTGGGATTTTCTTTTGTTTTCATTTATACAATTGACCATTATGTAACCCCTTTTTAAACGTTAAGTGCGTGAGCCTCACACAAAGTCAAGGTTCAATAAATGTTATTTGATTAAATTAATATTTATTAAAAGGCAGTTCTAGTACTATTTAAGTGTAAGTTAATTGCTAAAGTAAATTTAAGAATTTTCATTGGAATTGTGACTTTTCCAAATTAGTAATGAGTTACTGCAAATAAAACAAATTCTCTCAGTCGATAGAAACTAGTAAAAATGCCTTTGCTGTGCGGAATGAAGAAAAAGATAACTTTTTATTTATCAAAGAACAGTCCCCTTTCACCAAAGCCCATTTAATTACTGATATTTGCCCTTCGCATATGAGAAAGGAAACCAGACATCCTAAGTAACTAAAATACAAAGCCCCCCTCCAGTTGGAGGGACAGAGTCTTCCCCTGAACTTGATGCTGAGGCATTTCCCTGACTGTTTGAGCCAGATAACCTCCACTTCAATTCACAGATAAGGAACCTGAAGGGAAGAATCTACTAGATTCTAAAAAATATGCTTTCTAAACAAAGCAAATGAAACTTATAAATTAAAACGCATTTAAACATGTATTTCAGAAGTAACTATATGTTAATAACATGGTTGAAATAACTATAAGCCAAATATTATTCAAAGAAAACAGGAGAAACAGAAATTATAGTTGGCCATTTAGAATACCTACTGATGGTTAGACCTTAAATAATTTTTTTACTTATCTCAAAGTATGTGTTTTTCCTGTCAGCATAAGAATGCAATAAAACTGAAGTTAATGTTTATTTGTTTAAATACTGAGTGTTTCTGTTCAAAGCATAACTGAATTAAAACACACACTGTCTCTGTATCAGCACTACCATAGTTGGCTTATTCATTAAGTCAGCACATGTTTTTCAGTGCCAGCTACTTTCAGGGTCTGTCTTGCGGGTGCATACTCAGGTACAGTCTCCTGCGTCCGTGTCTGAGTCTTTTCAATGAGAGCCAAATACTTTCACAACCTGGGCTCTACTGCCCCAGCAGAGATTGGAAGTCCCTCTCCAGAAGATGGTCTTCTAAGTCCACAAAGTTTCCAACACTCACGTAATTACAGAGCACAATAAGCTGTTATACATGCAACGTTTAAAGGCACATGGCCTTGGAGCTGCAATTATATTTCTAGGAGTTTGTGCTACAGATATTCTTATACATTTAAACAAACAGAATGAGTCACTGGGGGATTTTATTTTCTAATAGACCTAAACAAGAATTAATTTAAATGCCCATCAGTGTAAGAATGGGTAAGTACATTTTGGCCCATCCATACACAATGGAGGCTGTGAAATACCATGGGGGCCGGTAAGGAGAGATTTTCTTAAGTGAAAAATCAGAATGCAGAACAGTATATATAGTATTGGTCTTGCTTGCAAACTAGAAAATGTTATATACACACAGGTGGGGCAAAAGTGGGTTTACAATGTGAGTACACAAAACAGAATTTATTCTTGTATTATTTATTCATTATTGTATTGTTTTCCGTACAAACAACTGTAAACCGACTTCTGTTGATCTCTGCATAAACACACACCTGCTTTCATGGGAAAAGAAAGATAAATATCTGACAGTGGATATGTTTGGGAAGAGTAGCTGACTGAAAAGGAAGAGGAAAAGAACTTTGATTTTTGGTTTTATACCCTCAGGACTTTCTGAGTGTTTGCTGTGTACATGCACCACAGCTACATTATTTTCAAATGCAGTCTTAAAGGAGCGTCTTTGCTAATCTTATAAAACTTTGAAACCTGTTGCCCACATTATTTGGGGGATTTTTCTAAAGAAAACAATTCAATAAATTAAGGCTTGCAGTGCATTTCTCTCTCTTTTTTTATTGTTGAAAGTATCACAGAAGTCCTTTTTTTTTCCATTGACCCCCTACTTTCTGCTCCCACACCTCCTGCCTTCCCTAGCCTAGTGTCCAAGTCAACTGGTTGTGCATAGATGCATATAAGAACTTTGGTTTATCTCTTCCCATCTTCCCACCCCCATCCCTCTTATGTATCTCCAAATATGTGAGCCATCCCAACAAAAAGGAAACAGAGAAACAAGCTGCCCTGCAGTACTCAGGCAGGGAAGGAAAACGAATGCTATTCTGTCATTACTTTTGCTCTTAGGTGTCTTATTTCCTCCACTACCACATAAGGTGTGCCGTGTCTTTGCTCCCCCGACGGTGTGCTCATGCCCCTACTCCACCTGTCCTCCTGACTCTGTGCATTTCACTCCGCTGCCCCTGGCACCACTCGAGTTTCTAAGGAATTCCTCTCCACTGAGCAGACCCACCCAGCTTGTTCAAAAAGGCAGCCTGTGGCATAGGCATTGACAACCACCACCATGATTTCATTCTCACTCAGCAGGGAGGTGGAGGTGATTAAGGAGGCTTCCTTCCACATATTTGATTATCTAAAAGAACAGGAAATGTTTCTGGAAAGACAGTTATTTTGGGGAAATTAGTCTGTGGCACACACCCACTCTTTTAAAAGAGATATCCAGTGTATTTTCTGTTTAGAAAATAAAGACATTGATTAGTGAATGGCAAATAGCCACCGGGTAGATATTTGGGGGGTGGGGGTGGGGGAGAAACAGTATTTTACCCAGAGAACTTACCTTTTATATGTTTTTAATGGGAATAGAATACAAAATTTGATAGAGAAGTTGCCACTTTTAACTCAAAATTCATTGGACAGTTCTGACTAACTAGATGAATGGTGTCAGCCTGAGGGGATCACAGATCCTTGTCCCACGGTCATTTGGAACCTAGCTGATGAGACAACAGCTTGTGGTCAGAGTCTAGGAGAATGGAGACCTGGCTGCTGGTCCCAACTCAGGCAGGTGCGGAGGTTCTTGGTGTTCCAGTGGACCGGGGAGATGCAGACCCAGGGGCATCTCTCTCTGTAGCAGGATGGTCTCAGTCCCCTTCCAGCCCCAGCTGGTGACCAGACATTGAATGAAACAGCCTGGATAGTACCAACATAAATGAAGAGTGCTTAGCGGTGACCTGAGAAGTAGAAAAAGCTGAACTTTGATCGCTTTTGCTTTGTGGTGTGTTGTTTCAATGCTATCTGCGCTCTGGGTGTGTTTCTGCTGGAACCTAAGGCCTGGGCAACTCAGAGCCTTCCCCACCGGTATGTGTAGGACTCAAAAACTGGTGACAAAAAGGACAAATCCAGCCAACAGCTATAGTTTTATGGTCCATACAGAGCTTTAAATGTCTTAAATTCATTACCAACCATTCAAAGATAAGATACATATTTTTTAAAAATCAGAGTGCCAGCTTCTCTTGGAAAACTTGAATATTTGTCCCACTGGGAATAGCCCATTGGTGCTGGGTGGCAGTACCTTCGTTAAATGGGCATGTGTTCTAGCATTGCCACGGAGCCTTCTAAACACACCTAGACCCTACAGGCTTCTGAGTTTATGGCCCTTGATTCGTAGGAAATTGACATTATAGATGTAATTTGACAACCCACAATTTTATTAAGCACTTACTATATCAGGTGTTGAACCTTTACCACAGCAGCTTTTTCAAAGAAAAAACTCATTAACCTTGAGAGAATCTATTGTTCCATTTCATTTATTTTTTATTTTTTTAACTTATCTTTATTGTTGAATATATTATAGATGTTTCTCACTTTTCTCCCATTCCCATCCCCCGCCTGCCTTTCCCCACATTGCTGTCTGCGTTCATTGGTTATGTATATATACATATTAAGTTCTTTGGTTTATTACTTCCCACCCCCCTTCCCTTTGAGGTTTGTCAGTCTAACAACCAATTTGTACTTCTTTTTTTTTTTTTAATTTTTTTTTGTTACAGATGTTTTGCCTCTTTTACCCCATTGACACCCTCCTCCCCATCCCCCACGCACCCCGTCCCCAGCTTTGTTGTCCATGTCAATTGGTTATGCATACATGCATATAAATTCTGTGGTTTATCTCTTCCCACCGCCCCACGCCCTCGTCTGAGGGATGTCAGTCTGTGCCCTACTTCCATGTTTCTGGGGCTACCATATTCCTCAGACTGTTATGTTCATTATATTCCGTATATAAGTGAGATCATGTGGTATTTGTCTTTTTCTGCTTGGCTTCTTTCACTTAGGATCCCTCCATGTCGTCTCAAAGGATAAGATATCTTTCTTTTTCACAGCTGCATAGTACTCCATTGTGTATATGTACCACTGCTTTTTTATCCATTTGTCTACTGATGGACCCTTGGGCTGTTTCCAGATCTTAGCTATTGTAAACAGTGCTGCTATGAACATGGGGGTACATATATTCATCCTGATTGGTGTTTCAGGCTTCTTAGGGTATATTGCTAGAAGCAGGATCATGGGGTCAAATGGAAGTTCAATTTTTAATTTTTGAGGTAACACCATATTGCTTTCCATAGTGGCTGCACCAGTCTGCATTCCCACCAGCAGTGTACTAGAGTCCCCTTTTCTCCACACCCTCGCCAACACTTGTTGTTTGATGATT